CCTGTCGTTTGCAACACATAGAACCCGAGGTAAATTTTGAACCTTTCGATATTGAACCATTACTAATGTGGCATCCTGTTTTTGGCTATTCCAAATATTTTATGAATGGATTCAATTTCCCGGGTGGTGTACTACCACAACTGATCCTTGTATCCTCACATGAACACGAGCCTTCCCTTCCTCATCTCGCCGCTCACCCGATCAACCCCAACCTTCATCCTTTGACGCATGCTCGGATGAATCTGAAGGGTTTCCAGACAAAACATTTGATCTTTTCGATGAAAGGAATCGAAGAGGCCGAACCTATTATGTACCACCCAAAGAGTTTCGATAGCCTTCTTCACTATAGGTTTCAAGTTTGTAAGTATATTCCATCTCAGACACTTGACACTTTACATTTACGAGATGTTGTGATGCACTATTTTGATGCAATTGGTTGGACTCTCTATTCAAATATTATATATGATACTTACTACGAGTTAGTCTTTGAGTTCTATACCACTTTCATTTTTCTGCAGCGTCATGTCATTTCTATTAATACACCTGATGTTATTGCTTTTCGGTTGCTATGGTAATACTTTAGGATGTCATTAAATGATGTTAACTTTTTTATGGGGTTCATGGCTGATGTCACAGACCATGGTTATCTGACATCTTTATGTGAGATTCTACAGGACTTCGATACTGATATGGCTTATGAAGCACTTACAGGATTGGCATGTGTTCAGTTTGATGCACATATTACAAAGGCGTGGCATATTCATGACCCCCACTCATTGTTACATACAGCGGTTTCTTTCTCACAATTATTCTGGTCGTAATGATGCTATATCTTATTTAAGTAAGGTTGAATTATTTTTCTTATAGTGTATGCAAACCAGTACGAAGGTAAATTTAGGATATTGATTCACTCGAGCCTTCGTGCGAGTTGTATGAACCAATCTACCCTTGATCCTTGGACCTTATATTACACATTTAACATCTCGTTTGTTTCCATTGACTTTGACAGTGTGAATTTTACTTATACTTTTGCTATAGATCCACTTGATGCTAGGTGTTTGGACTTGATGGGACTTCTCGCAGGCACTCCCGCTGCCCCTCACATTATACCTCCCGGCACCATTACACCTTGTAATGGGTGCGTTTACATGAGGAAGATTGAACCACCTTTAACAGCCAGCTCCCAATCGGATATGTGAGTCGAGATGCAAGGCGTGTCTGGTCGCCTTGACACTATTGAAGCCAACCTTGCTGAGGTTCTTTCTTACCTTTGTCCAGGCTTATCTCAACGTGGTCGTGGTCTCGATCGCCATTAGATTGGGAGTAATCATTTTCTCTCTCTTTATTTTTAAATTTGATATACATTTTGGGAAAAAATAGATTAAGTGAGGGGGAAGGATAAGCATGTCAAATTTTTTTCTTGACTTGTTTGATTATTTGAAATTGAGTTATTCTGATATTGATGTATTGGGATTGTTGGTTTCTATTCTTGAACTTCACTTTATACTCTTGTTTCCTTTTGGGTTGTGACCATGTTTTGATCGAATTTAATTTGCATGATGGTGATTGGTATAGCTGGTGATTTTTTTTTTGTTGAGTATAGTTATTTCATGATTTTGTTGATGAAGATGAACTTGACTTAGTTCATGTAAACTTTTCTTGTAAGATTCGAGCCTAAACGAGGATACATTTTCTTTCTTACTCATTGTTTGATTTGAATGTGTCGGATTAATTATGATATTCTAGAACTTTTAATCACAATGCATATTGAGACTACATGTTGAACATAATGTTTTAATGTGATAGGGGCACCTAGGATAAACCCACTTTTCCCAAAAAACCTACCAATTTATATATCCACTAGTGAACCACATTTGAGTCTATTTCCTTTTCTTTGTTTTAAACCTCATAATTAAACCCGAACCCTTTCTTTTTTATTTTTCCTCTCTTTTCACACCCTTTCCGAGACTTGAGATCTTGTATCATTCTTGTCCCATGAAAAAAAAAGAAAATGAAAAAAGAATTTCGAAAAAGTACACTGTTCAATGTTTCGAACAACAGAAAAAAAAAACACTTTGTTCGAATGAAAAGAAAAAGAAGAAGGAAAAATCGGTCGTTTCAATTATCCTTGTTTTATTTTTCATTGTGCTTCATGTTAGTTCATGGATTATTCCTGATCTTTTTGATCTCTTGTTTTGGCATTTTAAACCTTTCTTTTCGGCCTTTTTCCCTACCCATACTTTAGCCATGTTACAACCCATATTAAAGACCCCTTGATTATTGCATTATGTTCACTTTTAGTAGTGGAAACTTGATTGGATTTCAAGTGTATGGTAATATTTTGGTTAGTTTTGGTTTGAATGATTTCATTTACCCCAAACACTTTGAGCGGATATGTGTGAATCTTTGTGAGGTATTGGGTCATGTTTCATTGAAGTTGGCAATTAATTGGGATATCTTGCTTGCTTTAAATTTTCTTAGTTGTGTCTTAGCTTGATTTTACATTGGATTCGGTAATTTTCATGGACTTAGTTCGATTGGAAGTTTGAGGAATAACATGGGATTGAAGATGGCAACTTATGATTTTGATGTGTTAATTATGGAATGCTTAAGGACAAGGATTGAATAAGTGAGGGGGAATTTGATAAGTGCTTTATTTGGTTGTTATTTCGACTTTAAATTGCTCTTTAATCGTTAGTTTTTATGGATTATTTGTTCGTTTTAATTCATTTTCTGTGCATGATACTAGATTCTGAAAATCGCACTAAAAGGACTGAATTCTACAATTTTTATTTTCATAATCAAAGTTGGATTAGTGGGCATGAGTTTGGGCATGACGCATCTGATGTGGCTATGACGTCAGTACCTCTAGAAGATCCAGTCAGTGCTTCTAGAAGAACAAATGGATCAGCCGCATGTTTCTACAATTCGAATTTGAATTAAACTCGTGCTTTAGGATATTATTTTAAATATTATATTATATTTTATCTTATCTTTGTTTTAGGTATTTTAGTTTAAATAGTTTTAAGTATTTTCATTAGGATTTATTTCTTTATTTTAGGAATTATCTTTACCTTGTTTTTAGGATTTTGAAGGCTATAAATACCCTTTCAGGTTAAGCCTAAAAACATATCTCTAAACAACGGATAATTTACTCTTCTTCTTCTCTCTTGTTTTACAAAGTTTTCTCTTTTCTTTTCTTTTCTTTTCAAGTTTTTACTTTTTTATTTTAAGTTTTATTTTCAAATATGTTAAGTATGACTTTTTTCATGCTTAGCTAATTTTCATTTAAGCCGAAGGCTAAAGCGATGGCTCAATTCCAAACGTGAGAATTGTAAGGAACTTAAATCGCTTCGGATATCTCTCTCTGTTTTCTGGGCTTCTTTTCAAATCAAAACAATTTTCAAAACCAAATGCCGATGTTGGTCTGGATGTTGTTATGGTTAACGTGGGAGGAAGGGTCGGCTTGTTAAAGCACATTTGACTTCCTGGGAACACACTTAGCAAAATTGTTTGCTAAGGGGAAACTGATATCGGAATCAGTTATTGTTAAAACAACATAATCCGAGTCAGCAGCTTTTCGAGCCTTAACATTTTTAGATCTACAACATTGTTGTTACTTAGATCAATTCACAAACCGATATTAAGATTGCGCTTGGGTATTTGGTATACAAAGCATAGTCACAAGGATTGTCCTTGTAGACAAGTAACCGACATGAATCCTGAAATAAAGATCTATTTCGATGATCCGAGGAAACTGAGTTAAAGCTAAAAGCATGAGGCTACCTTTCACAACAAGTCTTCTTTTCAAACTCAAATTACTATTTTATTCTATTTATTATTTTTTATATTATTTGTCTTTATCTTATTTTCAAATAGTCTTTCAAAATCCCCTTATTTTATCTTATTCTTATTTCACCTTTATTTTTATTTATTTATTTATTTTTAATATTAAATTTCATCCATATCCAAACTCTACTGTTCAAAAACAAAAAGATAATTAAATCATAAACTGCATAGTCTCTGTGGGATCGACCCTTACTTTCCACTTGCTATATTTTCTTTACATTTCTTTTGGGATTAAGGAATTATTTTGACACGAAAACGATGCGTGTCACATATTGTTAGGTTGTTAGGGTTGTTGCTTATTCTAACTGCATGCAGAATGTTGTATATAATCAGTAATATCATTCTTTGTAATTCAATGAAATTACTTTCTTGTATTTCAACTATTATCCTCTTCTTATTATAAGACGTTGCTTTGTTGAGTCTTGCTATTATTAAAAGTAACAAAATAGTCACTCAACTATTAATATATTCCAAACTCGTCCTTTTATGTTAAAAAATTTATGGGTGTTTGAGCTGGACATTAACATGTTGACTGGGATAAGATAAAATATGATCCCAAAACTATTTGAGTTATATTTTGTGGATCGACTCTCCGTTTACAATATGTCATCGATCTAGATCTTGAAAGCAACGATAATTTTAGTAGACGCCATTAAAATATGATTTTATCATATCTCAATTAGCATGTTAACGTCTAACTCAAATGTCTATTAATTTTTTTAACAAAAAAATGAATTTGAACATATAAATCGTCGAAGATCATTTTATAACTTTTAATAGTCGGAAGATTCAACGAAGAAGTACTCTATAATCGAGGATTATTTTATAATTTTTAATAATAAAAAATCAACAAAACAACGTCTTTTAGTCTGGGATCATTTGTGTATTTTATCCCAAAATTAAAGAAAGGGGATGACGAGGCTATACATGTCATTTGCAGACAGAGCCATTAGAAACTTGAAAAAGAGAAAGTAACCCCAATAGATCCGCTTCAAATATGCTTTCTCCCATAAACTCCTCTCTCTCTCTCTTCTTATTCTCCACTTTTCCTTAACCCCCAAGTCTCCTTTCATTTCCATAGCCTTTGCCCTAAACAAATCACAATCAAACCAAAGCTCTCCTCTGATTTTCAGTTTTCCCTACCTTCTTCAATGGCAGATACAGATTCCCACACCAAAGAGCAGCAACTAATAAAGGAACAAAACCCAGCACACCCGAGTAAGTCCTACACGAATTTCCTTTCCAAAAAGCTGTTGTGATCATCGTTTTCTTGGTCATAATCCCAGTTGTCCCCTCACAAGCACCTGAATTCATCAACCAAACACTGCTTAACCGTAGCTGGGAGCTTCTCCGTCTTCTATTTGTCGGCATAGCAGTCTCTTACGGTCTTTTTAGCCGACGGAACGATGAAACGGACAAGGAAATCATCAACAACAACAATTGCAAGTTGGATAATTTACAGTCTTTGATGTCCAGATTCCTCCAGGTTTCAGCAGTTTTCGATGATGAAGCCGAAAACATATCTGGGTCTGATGAATGTAAAGTCCACACATGGAGCAGCCAATACTACAGGATTGAACCTCCTGTTTTGGTCGCCAAAAAACAAGGTGAAGAAAAGCCTTTGCTTTTGCCTGTTAGGAGCTTGAAATCGCGTGTTTTGGAGGGGAATAATGGTGAACAAATGTCTGGGTCTTTACGTAGGTCTAATTCCAGTTTGAGCTCAAAAAGAGAAAATGGCAAAACTTTGGCGGAGAAGTTGAATGACAGTAACGTTGTTCTTCCTTCACCGATTCCATGGCTGTCGAGGTCCGGAAGAATGGAAGTGAAGGAAGATACTGAGTCGTTTAGGCCCCAAACGACTCGTTTGTCACGTTCAAAATCTTCATCTTTTTCACCGAAGAAATTATCCCCTTCCTCTACTTCTTCTTTAACCGAAATACAAGCAAAAACTAGTGAGGATTTAGTGAGAAAAAAGACCATTTACAAGTCTCCTCCTCCTCCACCACCGCCGCCGCCGCCGACACCGTTGGTTAGCAAACCGTCACCTTTGAATGGCAGCTTTAAGCCGAAACCAAAGCAGAGATTCATGGTGGTGGAAACTACTGCTGAAGACGATGATTCAAACAACGAGGAAGACAATGGAGCAGATGGAGGATCTGATGTTGATAAGAAGGCAGATGAGTTCATTGCCAAAGTAAGAGAGCAAATCAGGCTTCAAAGAATTGATTCAATCAAGAGATCAAGTGGCCATGTCAAGAGAAACTCTACGACGTAAAGTTGAAGACAACATCAGTTAAAGCCTTGCAGAGTTTGAATTTGTACAACATCAATTAAAGCCTTACAGAGTTTGAGTTTGTATTCCATGTTTACTCTCTGCTCGTTATGTACAGAGATAATATTTACTGTTTATGTATAAACCAACGACTGCATTGGAGAATTGCTTGTTTTCTCTGACTTGTCGTAATTGAAAAGGAAAAAGAGTCTTTTTTTCTCAATGCATTGGATCCAATTATGGACATGCTGAATTTGAAAAGAAAGGTTAGGTTAATTCATTTAACCACAAAGCTGCCATTCATATGAAATTTTGCAGCAATTCTTTTGGGAATATGCCGATGACTAGCAGCGAATTCATTATAGAGCAAAAGAATACGTCAAATGGCATTAAATACCAACTTTTTTTTTGGGTTCTTTCTTAGCCATTTTTGTAATTCCCAACTTGTCTTTAAGTCTAAGCAAAGCATATATTCTTTTAAAGTTGAAGCAAAGAATGCAAAGCTAAAATCGTGTTTAATTCTGTATTACTTTGTTTGTAATATTATATAACGATACATGTCCGTCTCCCTATACGAGTATACTATTGTTGGAAAAAATTTGATAATTTTAGAGCTTTGAATGAGAAATTGATTCAATTGTTGTTGAGGAAAATGTAGAATTAATTATTGGTTCGTAAATATACAGATGTGCACGATGTGAGTAACGTGAATGTCCGAATCAATCTAGCTCTTTGTGGGCTTACGGATATTTTAACCCAAATGCGAGATATTTTCCTCAAATAAAGAATATATTTTCAAAATCTGTTTTGGAATTGAAAGGATAAATATTAAAAAGTTTCTTTAATCAAAACAGTAATTTTGGAAATTGATTAATTATTTGATTCTCATTAATGCTTCATTAGATCAAAATATTTTAATTGTTCACAATGTGAATTCTCTATAAATACCGTGTTAACCTGCTAGGTTAACCACAATTCAAAAACCAATTCAAATGAATTATTTTCTCTAGTTTTGGGTGATAGGCGAATATAAGAAATAGTTTGTGATCTCGGCAGTTGTGCTATTGTATGTTGATCATCTCGTTATTGTATCCTAGGAGACAAACAACCAAAGATCTCAAGCATCAAAGAGTGGCCGAAAATATATCTTAAGGAAATTGCATAATTGCATGTCTCAGCTTATTTTTATTCATATATTTATGGTTTTATATTCAGATTATTTAATGGAATAATTTTCATGATATTAATTGTGTTTGTTTTATTTGATTCATGTACACGAATTTTACGACAAGATCCTGCCGAGGAATTGAATGTCGTTTGATGCGACTTGTATGAATCACCATGAAAGCAAATTGTGGATCTATAAAATATTTGATTTTTTTTGTCTTGGATTGTTATACCTCTAACATTTATTCTAAATTTCATGTGGAGTTGGGCTGTTATAAATTTGAATTACTTTGAGTTCAAGTTGGGCTGTTATAAAGATTATTAAGTGTCTTAATGATAAAAAAATGTCTTTCTTTATAAATAACTTAGATTCAAGTTTAATGGGGAAAAATAGATTCAAGTAATTATATTTGACGATGTATGTGATGTGTTCCTAATTGACGGATAAGGTTTATGAGAACTCTAGGTGGTCCAATTGACCCGAATGCATTACAAGTGAGCCAGAATCAATAACTTATTGTTTTTTATTGATAACGTATTCTTTTAAAATCTCTCTTTCAAGCTTTGGACTGTAGCCCACTCCTTGTGGGATATTCGGGGTTCAAAATGAAAACTTCACTTGCAACGCAAAGTTGGGATATATTCCTAATCAAAAGTTTTTTTTATAAGTATAGAATAATTACAAGGTAATATCTGTTAAAATTTTCTTAATCTATTAATAATGTACGCATCTCTCAATTAAATGTTACAGTTGAGAGTCTCTAGTCAAAACCTTCTTGTTATTTGTTTTCATACACTAAGTTGTTTAACTTGAATATCAATTAAGGTCGCACACAGATTTCTTGCAACTTATGTAAACCCTAAGGTTTAAAAGTAGGTGATTTATCCAGTCATCTGACATGAAGAAGATTTGAAGTTTGAATTCAAGTGTCTACAAGCTTATTAGAATTATCAAAAAGAGAAAAGAGTGCAAGCTTAGATGAGTAGAATTGTATTTACGGCAATGAGATTTCTATCTATCTCGTTTGTGAAAACACCGAAGATATTATAAGATAATTTACCGTATTTGCTGTTATTTTTAACATATTTTGTTGTGATCGGTAAGTTTGGCGAACAGTGGCGGATCTATAAATTAAAAATTGGAGTTTAAATTAAAAAATAATAGGTATACAAAAATTTTAATTTTTTTATTTTTTCTTAACACATTAAACTAAATTTAACCCATTTTCCAAAATAATTGGATGCACTTAACTCTTATGGGGGTTTAGTGCATCCGCCACTGGTAGCGAGTGACATTATCATGTCTCAAAATTTAGGAGACTCACACTTTAAAAATATGCTAACTTAGAAAAAAAAAATGTTTTTTCATGTTAAGATCTAACAAAAAATCTTCTAATTTTCTTATTATCTCAAGAATTCAATTATAATTAATTTTTTCTTTAAATTATCAAATTTATGATGTTTAACTAAAAATGATATTTATGTCTAACCTTTTAATCTTTTTTAAATTTTAATATTTTATAATTTATAAATATTTTAGAAATCTTCATTTTAAAACAAGAAAGGATCTGTCTATCTTTCCAGAATAGTCTCTTGTTCTGATCATAAAATCATTAAAGGTCTCTCAATTTATTATCTGCAAGATTCCCTTACTGCTTTTGACAAGATGCTTACATCCAAAGATGTTGGGTGTGTTCTTTCTCCTTTTATTTTCCTCCACGGTGGAGAGCCAGTTGAATTTGTTATATAATGCAAGAATTAAATTATACATTCTCATTAGAATCATAAACCCTACGTCAATTAGAGATGTTTATCAAATGGTCGTAGGAGTGTACATGAGAGAAGTCATCAACGAATTGTTCCTAGACCGTTTGTATAATATTCGTTTATTAACTTAAATAAATGAGTATGAACAAAAAATTTATTTTATTTAATAAAGAAATGAACACAAACAGATGTGTGTTTGGTTCGTTTATGCTCACAAACATACTCATTTCTCGACTCGTTTATAAGTTCGTTTACTCGATTCTCTTTTTCCTTTCATTTTTTTACATTTTTGGTGAACATATGGACTAAATTGAATATAAGAAAAACTTTATAGTTCAAAGTGTGAAGTCTAAGGATTTTAAGGACTAGTAATGTAATTTTACCATTTTCTTTTAGATCGCAAATAAAAGGATAAAGTATTGGTTCTCGAACATGTTTGTGAACGCTAAATAAATATGTTCGTGAACATTAAACGAACGAACACAAATACTTTTAAAAATAAATAAACAAACATAAACACGATATTAAAAATTTAAACAAACACGAAATAAATGTGAATGCTTTAAAAAAACAAATAAACTAACCCAAACATAATTAGTACACCTTGAATGCCCAAAGAAAGTAAGTAGTATTTAAATAAGTTTTATTGTTTGGCATTAGGGTTCATCTTTATTAGACAAAAGTAGGTTTAGACGTCATTAAAGAAACGTTATGTTTCAAATGCTTGGCAAAAGACGCCTATAATTAGGACACCGTGCTTACAATGCTCAAAACAGGTGCAATTGTCCCCCACACAATCCCCAAAACGTTGTATCGTTTAAGTTAAAGGAGAACCCTTGGAATATGGAACACGAAATCGTCTTTAAAAGCATTTGTCAAATTTAATACACATTGCACTTTACACCCGAATTTCCTGACTCAAGGAAGAAAACGTGATTAGCACTACTAATTAAACACCAATACTCAAACTAAGGGTTATAATGGACCAATTAATACAAACATGATGACCCATAAAAATCCCATCTAACTACCATATCTTAAATTAAATATCTTTAAATATACTGAAACTGGAATCTAAAACATGTTTTTTATAATTCGAGTAATTCTAAATTAATATATGTTCAGAATTTTCTTATTTTATTCAGTGTACCGCAATATTACAATCGAAGATGAAGAGCTTAGAACAGTACATGGGCCAAACGATTAATTGGGATGGGCCTGTGGGCTACTTGATATCGCCGTGGATGGACGGACGATGATGGGGGTGGGACAGACACCCTCTCGCATGACGGGCACATGGTGAGTGTGGTTGGTGGGGTCATTTGCGTGTACAATTGTGGGGAACGTTTCTGTGCTCTCAGCTCCACCACTTCTTTTTGCAACCGCCTGTTCTCCTCCGTCAATTTCTCAAAACACCTCTTCAGGAACTCACAGTCAACCTCAGTTTGCTTAAGTTTAGTCCTGTTCCCAAACCAATTCCCCATTCGCACATTTAGTAAATATTTCAAAGGTAAATTATATGTTTAACACCTAACTATTACCTTTTATTCTATTTTGATACTAACTATTTTTGTTCTTACAACATACCTAATTTATTTTTTTACCCCTATTATTTTTCACATCAATTTAGTCTTCAAAATTGTTTAGATCCATCTTCCTATCACTTAAATTATATTTTGACTAATAAAATTGTTAGTCTTCTACGTTTATCGATGTCAACAATTTTCATGTCAATCAATATTACTAACGAAGCTTATAATGATGTGACATTTATTAAAAAATAAATAATAAAATATTTAAAATATTTATTAAATACAACTATTAGAAAAAAATCTCAAAATATTAACCTAACACTTTAATCTATTGAAATAAATAATAGAATTTTGAAATTTTCTTCGTAATTGTGTTGTTTAATAAATACTTTAACATAATCTTTTAATCCACATACGCATAACACTTACATTTCTGTTAGTCAAAACAGTCAACAAATTTCGAGGGCTAAACTAATACTCATAAACAACTACAATGACTAAATTGATGGGGGAAAAACATAAGGGTAAAAAATGATA